ATGTGTATACTTATTTATCCTTTTTTTTCTTAAATTTGTATTCCCTATAACAAAACCCCCTTTCATACAAAGTTAAATTTAAAGGGCCCCTTTTTATCATTTCACTGGCACCCCAAATTACCTACCACCCCTTCTAAAAGTTTCTCCTACTTTAGCATTCAGGTCCCCTCCACAATTACTCTCTCACTTGGTTCAAAGGCCCCCTTTTCATTCATTAACATCTTTCATAATTTATTAAAAAAAAAACCAACCACCCCAACATATCCCCCCCCCCCTGCTTTAAAATTTTTCTGTCATGATCCGTCAGTTCCACTGCTTTACCATTTTCATTCTACGTAATGCCTCAACATTCCCCCACACTCAACCCTGCTCTTCTTTATCCAAAAAGATGCTATACCCCCCTGGCCAGTGCTAAATTTACCGCCTCCCTTTCTTCGTCGAAAAACCTTACAAAAAAAAATTGGGTAGCACCAGGGAACAAGCAGTGTAATTTCATAATTATTTTTAACCTAAATTTGTGGAAAAATTATCAAAAAAATAAAAATGGGGGGCCACTTACCTTATTTCTCCTTTTCCCCCCACACCTCTTTTACCCATTTCTTACCTTTCCCATCCTCACCCCCCCCATCCCAGGCTGGCTCGGGTAATTTCTTTTCGCATTCCCCAAGAGACAGCACAATGGTTTTTTAGAAATAAAACAAATTCAAAAATTTTTCACATACATCGTGACTTCACTTTTTTAACCCCCCTTTTCCCCCGCTTTTTTCCCTTAGAAATTTTGTATACACTAAAAAATCTGCTAAAATATTTAAAATACAGTGATACCTCGAGTTACAAACTTAATTCGTTCCAAAGGCTTTTCGAGTGCCAAACCTAACAAATTTTTTCCCATAAGGAATAATGAAAATTTAGATTAGTCCTTTCGCCCCCCAAAAATTCACTTACAAAAGCTTTCCAAAATACATTTACATAATGATTTGGGAGCTGTTTGAAAAAATTGAGGTACCAGTTAAAAAAGGATAAGGAAAAATGCTTGCCTCGGGTCTTTCAGATTGGATTCTTGTATAGGGTTAGAATTTAGCATGGGACAGTTTGGGCATTTTAGATAGAGAGGAGTGCTTGTTCTTTAACGGCCTCAAAGGATTTCAAGGGTGGAAATCAGGCATCGGAGAAGCTCGTGATTGAGGTGGTGGGGTTCTGACCAATTGGAGATGGATGATACGGGTGATTGAAGTTGGAAAGGGGGCCGGATACGAAAATAGGCCTGGAGTCTGAAGGTTTGCCGAGGTTAGGGGTTTGGGTTTGAACGTAGGAAAAGGTTCTGGCGGAAGATGTCGTTCTCGTGTTTTCAAAACAATTTTGATTTAGACTGAAAGAAAAAACAAAAATTAAAATTGTCACCCTATTCATTTAAAATTTTAGGAAAAAATAAACCATCACAAAATAAACAACACGGTAAGAAGTCCAGCATGTCTAATGCAAGCAGCATGCATGCAAGGGGCACGCCCCACACACACAAAGAAAATCAGTCTCATTATTCATAAAAGATAATGCTCGACAAATCTTCAACAAACAAAACTGTACTACAAATGTTAAGAAAAACTTCATGATCGCTTCAATAAAAATTTTTTTGCAATCCTCATGTTCATGGTTATCTAACAGTTCATAATGCAACATTTTCCTAGTATGCATAACTAAAACAATCACACCATCTACTACTTGGCTCTCAAGAGGTATTCTGTACAGATAATACAATCATGTGATATATAACTTGGCTGTCAAGACCCTTCTATAGTGAATAATACAACTTACAACCACATCATGTGTTATAATATTTTTACAACCAGACCCTGTGTTACAATATAACTAATACAACCACACCATGTGTTTATAATACAACCCACACCCTGTGTTTATAATACAACTAATACAACCACACCCTGTGTTATCATAACCACACTTATGTTATAATACATAAAACCACACCATGTGTTTTTATCTTTCAATGGCATTCTTCACCAACAAAATAAAATTCTGTCATTTGTTTCTTGGTTTTAAAAAGGGATAATTAATTATCAGAAATGAAATCGTGTCCAAAAAATAAATCTTTTTAAGCAAGAGCAGCAAGGTTTTTAAAACTACTTACTGTGCTAAAGTCGTTAAAGTCACTAATGTAGAATGCCTTTTCCTATTATATTATGCTTGAATACAGGTGCAGCTTTCTGAATTAATTGAAGCCTCCACTGCCATAGCTGAAAAGAAAGTTAACTTTGTGATATAATAAGGTATTGTGCCATAAAATCTCTATTAAAATGCAATACCTGAATTCAAATTTCGAACTGCTGCTTAGAACCCCTAAAATATCTTCTAGAGTTGTAAAATCACAAGCCTGTAAAGTTTTCTAGATGACTAAGACATGTGCACCACTTAAATGTCTGTATTTCTGAAATGTTTTGCCTGTACAGCAGGTTCTTCAGTCAAATAAAAGTGGACCCCCCCGCATAACGATCACCTCCGAATGCGACCAATTATGTAAGTGTATTTTTTAGGGGCATTTGTACGTGTATGTTTGGGGGGTTGAAATGGACTATTCTACTTCACAAAAATTCCTTATGGGAACAAATTCAGTCAGTACTGGCACCTGAACTACTTTGGAGTGAAAAAATATCGTTTACGGGGTCACTGTACAGAGGTTACCAAATTACTGGTTACAGATAAGAAAAGATTGAGGTGTTCAGTCCCTTAGCTTTGACAGAAGTTGTTTAGTTTCATACCCACTGATTACCCTGAAGAAACAGGCACTGAACGAAGTGAGATGCAGCAGTTGGAGATAGTGCCACTGTTGGTGGGTCCCACTAGCATGGGTTTTTTTTACCCACGATAGGCAGGGGCCTTAACAAATTTGTCACTTCTCACACATGAGAACATGCCTATAAGGTAATATAGATGTTCTCTGTACAAAGACATGAAGATGTAGCTGTGTTAGCCAAGTATCATTATATTAAAACCCCTTTGGGGTGGGTCCTATAGTCTAAGCTTTGAAGCCTAGGTCTGTCTCTTTGTTCTACACCAAAATTCTAGTGGCTTCAAATTTAGCAGGAGAAGGCTGGTAGGCCTACATACGAGAGAATGGGTCTGCATGGTCAGTTTGCGCAGTATACAAAAAGACTGGAGCGCTCGCATTGCTTTGTGGGAACGCCATCTCATTACTCTTTGTTCATTATTGCTTGAGGTAAAAAACCTCACTCCCCACCAAATTGGGAACCCTTTCTCTTTCCAAGTGACAGTTCTAACATGGATGGAGGTGGAAGTGAAGATAAATTTTATGTTTTTTGAGGAGTTTGTGACCAAAAGCAACCCTTAGGATGATGTAAATACTGCTAAAAACCCCAACAACAGTAAAACCTCCACCTCTGGCTGGTCCTCTGGTTACTTCCAGTTGTAACTGACATAAATATAAGTTTATATTTTCTTGTGGCCAGGACTCAGATGTGAGCAATGGTGATGATGTGATATTGACTGTGATTACCTAGTTTCTCAATGACTATTCAAGTAGCAACTGTGAAGAGGAATGTTCAAACGGTGAAGTGTCGATTTTAATACATCCTGGAATATATCCCATGGCCCTACACCAGGAATAGACAGGAAAGTGATGTTGTGACTACAACGGAGGATAATTGACCACATGGGGCCCAGTATTTGGTGGTGGTGGTGCCACGTGGGGTGGGGACCGCAGCACCCAGGCTGGAAGGCACACTGCTGACTCAGGACGTCCACAATCAAATCCAGCCTTAACCACCCACATACCACAACAACCGCACAAACCAGCAATCAAAATGGAATTCAGCCAACTTGTACCCTTGGGAACAAAGCCAGTGAACTGGAATGTTTTGAACTATCTTTTAATTAACCGCTGATGGAAAATTATCATCAGGAAGAAATACATACAGTGGTTCCCCGAGTTTCGAACAAACTCCCCAAATCGACCAATTATGTAAGTGCTTTTCTAAGTGTATTTTGGGGGTTTGAAATGGAATAATTAATATACATTATTCCTTATGGGAACAAATTTTGTTTGGTAATGGCACTCGAACAGCCTTCCGGAACGAAGAAAGTTCGAAAATTGGGGTACCACTGTACTTCATTAAAACCTGACAAACACACCGTTTCACCAAAATCATGACTACACCAGTGGAAGGAGACAACTGTTTCTGAGATGTATCTGTTCCTTGCCACAAAAAATGCTGATGCCCCAACTGATTTATTTCCTATTATGTATGCAAGCTACACTTCTCAGCCCAAAAACAAGGCCTGACAGAAATGACAGTTATACAAGATTAGGAATGTGTTTATGTATCTGAAACAAAAGTTCAGTATGTATTTTTATCCTTCAGGAACCTTGTTACTGACAAGTCTTTGATTTTATTCAAAGGCAGACTCTCATTCAAGCAGTATTACCAAGCAAGTGGAAATGCTTTGGTATCAAGCTGTTTGTGCTTTGTGATTGTGAAAGTGGTCTGGTATTAAGACATAACTGTGTACACTGAAAGTAATACATGAAGGACACCAGAAAGTTTTTGGGGTATCTCTGGTGATGTGGCTAGAACACTGATGAAACCCATATCTTGGTAAGGGTCATAAAATTATATATGATAACTGGTACAAAAACCCCTTACTCAGTGTTTTTTCTTGCAAGTGAACATGAGAGATGTGTGTGGTAGAGTGCATGCCAATCATAAGCATATGCCCAGGTTCAACATAAGAACTCGTAGTGGTGAGGTGCAGGTGTTTGCTACAATGACATGAACATTATGGTGGAATGACAAATGAGACGTCCCCATTGTTGACATCCATTCACTAAAATGAAATGACACACACTGCCAAGGAGAAGAGAGAGAGACCAATGAAGTCATTGTAAAACCTGCAGGGGTGATGGACTACATACTCAATATTTCATTTAGTGGACCAAAAAGTGACATGCAAATTGGGTTTGCGATTGTGTTCAAAAAGAGTTACAAGGGGGTACATGAAACTATTTCTATCTTGAGGACATTTCCACACTCAATGCTTATAATATGTATAAGATAAGGACCGGAAACAGACCACGTATGCTGAATTTTTGTCTGTCATCAGACAAATAACATTCAGGTACCAGGTAACAACACCCTGCAATACAAAACTGCCCACGAACTGATCATCACATCCCTTTCATTTTTAAGCACGGTGATCACTTTTAGTGACACTTCCTCCTACTAAAAAGAAATGGGCTCAGAAAAGATGTTTTGGTCTATGGACATGCAACAAAATGTCAAAAAAATTTTTAGACACTCATTTTGTATGTGAGGAGTGTAAAACAGCACTGTGCATGAACCATGTATCAGTTTGCAACAAAACTGCAACAGTTTTTTGGAACATGTCCGTGATTGAATATTAGTAATAAGAACATTTATATTTGTTTGTGTAAACATGCTTTGTAAAAAAATTTTAAATAATAAAAAATATTAGTGCGTGAATGTGCGTGGATGTAGTGGGGATGATAAGAAAGAGATGATTGGTGTTATGAATGAAAAAGAAGTTGGATGTCCTGGCCCTAAGCAAAACAAAGCTGAAAGGGTTAGGTGGTTTTGTGGGGGAGAAATAAATGGGTTTAAAGTCAGGAGTATTGAGAGAGTTAGAGCTAAGGAAGGGGTAGCAATAATGTTGAAGGACTATTATGGAACCAGAAAGAGGGAATATAAACTTGTAAATTTCCCACGGATTATGTGGATTAAAATAAGGGTCGGATGTGAAAAGTGGGTCATAATAAGCGTGTATGCACCTGGAAAGAGAGGAGTGTAGAGGAAAAGGGGAGATTTTGGGAAATTTAAGCGGATGTATAGGAACCTTTGAACCAAGTGAGAGAGAAAATTGGGTGGTAGGGGACCTAAATGCTTAAAGTAGGGAAGCATTTGAGAGGGTGTGGTAGGTAAGTTTGGGGTGCCAGGTGTAAATAATAATGGAAACCCTTTGACTGAATTTTGTATAGAAAGGGGTCTAGTTATAGGCAATTTGTATTTTAAGAAAAAGATGATAAATAAGTAAAACAAGATGTGATGTAGGGCGTAATGACAGTAGTTTGTTGGACTATGTATTGGTAGATAAAAGACTGTTGAGTAGACTTCAGGATGTACATTTTTATAGAGGGGCCATAGATACATCAGATCACTTTGAAGTTGTAGCTACACTTGAGAGTAAAGGTAGATGGGATACAAGGAAAACAGAAGCAGCAAGTAGAGAGAGGTAAAGGGTTTGTATAAAACTAAAAGAGGAGGCAGTTACGGTAAGATATAAACAACTACTAAGGATAGAGGGGCTAGGGGAGGTATAGGCAATGTGGTCAAAGATGTATGGGGTAGGTTTAGAGTGTTAGTGTGTTCAGCAGAAGTTTGGGGTTTACAGGAAAGTGGGTGGGGGAGGGAAAAAAAGAGCGATTGGTGGAATGATGACGAAAAGAGAGTAGTATGGAAGAAAAAGCTAGCATATGAGAGGTTTTTACAAAGTGAAGTGATGCAAGGGAGGAAAGGTATATGGAGAGAAAAAGAGAGGTTAAGAGAGTTGTGAAGCAATGTAAAAAGAGAGCAAATGAGAGAGTGGGTGAGATGTTATCAACAAATTTTTTTTGAAAATAAGAAAAATTTTTGGGGGGTGAGATTAATAAGCTGAGGAAGCCTAGGGAACAAATAGATTTGACAGTTAAAAACAGGAGAGGAGAGTTATTTAATGGAGAGGTTAGAGGTTTCAGGAAGATGGAGGGAATATTTTGAGGAAATGTTAAATGTTGACGAAGACAGGGAAGCTGTGATTTCGTGTATAGGAAAGGAGGAATAACATCTTGTAGAGTGAGGAAGAGCCAGTTGTAAGTGTGGGGGACGTTTGTGAGGCATGGGTAGAATGAAAGAGGGTAAGGCAGCTGGGATTGATGGGATAAAGATAGAAATGTTAAAAAACAGGTGGAGATATAGTTTTGGAGAAGTTGGTGTATTATTTACTAAATGTATGGAAGAGGGTAAGGTACCTAGGGATTGGCAAAGAGCATGCATAGTTCCTTTGTATAAAGGGGAAAGGGGATAAAAGAGAGTGCAAAATTTATAGGGTAGGGGATGTGTAGATCAAGTGTTTACATTGAGGCATATATGTGAACAGTTTTTAGATAAAGGAAGGGAAGTTTTTTTTGCATTTATGGTTTTTTAAGAAGAGGCAAATAAATAGAGTG